CACACACACACACACACACAGACACACACACACACACACACACTCGCACACACTCACACACCCGCCTGCAGACCATCAGAACATCATCTACAGCAGTGATGATCTTCTCTCAGGATCCACCTGAAGCTGGTGACAGCGCTGATGGTCTCTGTCTTTCTCTATCCTGTCATCATCATTTCAGTCTTTACTTCACATGTTTTTACACAGAAACCCACCAGTTTTGTATCCTGACCCAGAGCCTGAGCAGGACACGTCCGTGAGTCATGGTAACCGAACAGATTCAGTATCTCCACAAAATCACAAACGAGCGAATCATTTTTTCCTCCTGCTGGTTTTCCTTCGTCTCGCTGCAGTTCTGCTTCTGATTCTGCAGTTTGTTTTGTGCAGCTATTATTTATCACGCGTTTCACATTCCGCTCACAGCTGTCGGCACGGAGAGAGCGGCAGCCAATCGGCTCGCAGCAATCAGCAGCGCTCACAGATCTGCGCTCAGATACGTCAACATTCATTTCACACGGACCCAAACAACGAGATGCTCCATCCGAGAGCAGAACAAACAGTCTGGGTCTCATGTTTCCAGAGAGGATCGAGTGAATCGGTGAAGCGAGTGACACTAAACACTGCCTCAGGACAGGATTCGACGGTGAGGACGGCCTCGGGTCACTGCACTGAACGCTTACATTCATTAATCCTGTACATCCAATTCTTTTATTATTAAATAAAATATACAGTACTTATAGAAAACACAGAAAGTAAATCATTATTGCTGAGCCCTGTATCAAAGCTGTGAATCTGTCACTGGTATGAACAATGGATTGAATCAGTGCAATGATTCCACAGAATTGACTGATATTAAAAAAAAAAAGATATGCTTTTATTTTGACACTCTCCATTAAAACACCTTCAATCGGGTGAAAAATGACTGAGCTACACCTGTTTGAAGTCTATAGCAAAGTCAGTTTTGAGAAAAATCGAGTTAAAGTTTTCTGAGGTTCCAAAGCAAAATCACCCAGCAACGCTGCATCTTTTCCTCCAGTTCTTTTCTTAATAATAATTACTGTATTGATAATCACAATATAGCTATTTTTTATTTTATCTGTTATTATAAATTAGAACAGATGCAACAAATCAGTATACAAATATAACAGAGAAACAAATAATGCATTACCTTTTTAATTGTACATCTAAACAAAAGCATTCAAGTAAGAAAAACAAATCAAATGCAAAAAACAATTTAGTGTGTTCATTACAATTAAATTGATTATTAAAACTACAGAAGCAGTTCAGTCAAGAGCAGCGAGTGATTCTCTCTTCTTTTATTGTTAGATTAACATTAATGAGACAGAAGGCCTATATATTAATACCTACTGTAATGCACGGATCTAACATAATGTTAAACAGCCGATGTTTTTCCCCAAACGTTCACTTAAGATATAGCAGATTATGTTTGCGTGAACACTTAAATACTGTAATTCTGTGTATATTTATCGGGATCGGGCGCTTCGGATGACAGTCAGCGTGAGAAGCGAGCGGAGAAAAGCTACTCCTCTCAGAAAACATACAAATAAAGATCATTTTAGATGTTTAATTACTATTTGGAGCATTGGCATCACTAGACGAGGGCTTAATGAACTCATTTTTGTGAAGACCTCAAATACAACTAAAATACAGCTTTTTTTGCGTGTAGCTCAAAATTAGCCCGTGTGCATTCACAATCATTCTGCCAGCACGGGTCATATATATTAACCAATAACAACATTCAAACATATATCAGACGGCTGGATTCAGTCTCTAATACAGATGTATATATATACATGCATATTTCTGTATTTATTTAGAGAATGCAGTGGGCTGATGGGAAACGCAGCAGTACCTGAGGGTTGGAGCATTTGAGGTGCACCGGCTGCAGATCCACATGCAGACACATGATGAAGGCGTCTCTGCTGTCGGGCTGCAGTTTGGGAGCGGTGAGCGCCAGCGTGGAGGTGCAGCCCACCGGCTCGAGCACGCTGAGAGACCGCTGCTGTCCCAGGAGAGAGTAGATGCTCAGCTGACTCACACACACCGTCCACAGGAACGCATCGCCTGCACACACACACACACAGACACGCGTCACACACTCTCACACTCACTCACACAATCACACACACACAGACACGCGTCACACTCGTGCTCCAGAGCGCAGGGAGAAGAACAGATAGTGCCGCTCTCAAACCCTCCTCCAGCACGGGTCTGGGCACAGTGAACGTGACATCCTGCAGCGGCTCCATGCGCCGCTGGCATACACGCCTGACTGTGATACCAGCTGCGCACGGTGCCCGGGATATCACCACACACCAGCCTGCTGGGAGACGGGAGGCTTTCTGACGGCATGAACACACAGCACGACTGCAGCTCCACCTGAACACACACACACACACACACACACACACAGAGAACAGCTGAGAGTTAGAGACGAGT